TAGTAATTTTGAGATGACTAAAATATTTTATAAAATGGATAAGCAGTTTGTAGTTGTGCTAGATTAAGCTGTTGGAATCAGATGCTGCAAATGATTATCAGGAAACTTAATTACAACATTTGCAAGAGGCACTAACTTTATTTTGAAGTTTTTTAATCTGCACTGTTTATAAGGATGTGCCGTTATATCTGTTTTACGACCCAATATGATTTATACACACTGAACCTGTAAAATTGAAAGGAATTAAAAAAATGTCGCGGTGCATTTGCTTGAGGTTGTGCAGGCGCTTTTACAAACCTTCCAAGTGGCTGTAAAGATGAATGCCTCAAGGGTCCAGCCAGGGCCCTGCTTTTCCAACCAGCTAAAGCCCTTATCTTAAATCCAAGCAAAGTACCATTAATCTTTTTGAAAGACCTTTTATGGCTTTTAATATATCCCAAATTAGAACATTTTACACCCTTGGTTCCTGAAATATGGTGATAAAAAGCCTTTAGAGCTTAATTTTCCTTACCGCATGCTCTGACCAATTTGCAGTTCTTTGTGATAATGTTTAGACACCTTAATTAAAATGCAGGAAAATATTGGATGTTCTATATGGAAAATGCTGATACTCTGGCTACACATACAAGAAATTCTGTATGTATTTTTATTCACTAAAAAAATCTTCTCACATTGTGTTACTATAGTTATCTGATGACCCCAAACTGTTTTTTTTTTTTATTTATTTTCTTATTTAATATAAAAGCCATTGACCAAGCTTTTGGGATGTTTACATTGGGTAGGAAGATGCAGTTTTTTCTTTATATATGTGAAAGGGTGATTCTTGTTTGTCTATTTTATTTGTTTGTCATAGAGAAATACAGTACAATATTCTTTTATATTCTGAAACTCAGGTTTGTCATCTTGACTGAAAAAATACATTTCTTCTCAACCTCCTCTTTATTGAAGGCCTTATTATCCTTTTGTGTTTCCAGATATCCTTGTTCCATTTCTTTCTCCACAGAAATAAGTGAACACATTTATGTAAGCATTCAGAGGTCAAAAACTACTATGAATTGTCATCATCATTCCAAATAAGTATTTTCTTTAAAAAAAAATCACAATACATAGAATAGCCTTGTTTTAATGTTTATTGGTTGAAGGACATTCCGTCTAACTTGGCCCATGGTCTAAAAGTAGGTAGATAAGTACACCCTCCTAGGAGCATTGTCTGAAAGTGCTCCTGGGAACCTGGTAGTTTATTAACACAGTTCACAAAGTGATGGTGCCCACTGTGCAGTATAAAGAATTCTTAAAAGATTATACTATGTCTTGATAGTGGTCTCTATAACTTTGCCATGGTGCTGGTGGTTCTGTGTTTGGCTTTATTTTTAGCTTTGCGGGGGACATTGGAAGCATTTCTATTAGGCTATGGTTGGGTGGAGAGTCAGTCCATTGGAGCATTAAGGTGCCCGTTGCCTTGTCTGTCCTATTTCTGGGAAACTCAGACGAGGAACTTCAGTTAAGTTAAAAATATAACTAACTTTCACTCATGGTGATGGTATATAGCAAATGTGTTCACATTATATTATTTCTTACCCAAGGTAGAGGCTGAGTTTAAATATAATAAAAATTAGCTGAGAGGTAAATAGGACTGTAAACTGGGGAAGTTCGTAAACTCTATCGTACATCATTCTGTTATTTGATTTGTAACACATCGGAACAGAATTAACAGAGAAATACAGATATTCAGAGAATGGGGCAGGAAAGAGATTAAGTTACCCATGTAAATGTTGGCATCTTGCTGAAGACAGCTTCTTGGGCTCACTTAGTGCTCCCCATGTGTCCAGTTATACCCGCATACTTCCCAGTCCCCAGCATTTAGTTGGAGCTATATGATTAACTCTGATCAGAAACAATGTCTGTGTTACTTTTATGAGCCAGTAAGAGACCCTCTAGTTCTGACACATAAGGCACCACAATGTGTGTGTGTGTGGGGGGGGGGGCTGCATGTCTCTGGGTTAAAGTGAAGCCAGTCATTGATACTTGCCACTGCACTATCCTGAGCAGCAGGTTCTAATGTAATCTTTTTCATGTATGACAAGCACACAGGCTTTCAGTGGATGGGAATTCCATCTTAATGAGAAGTGATTCCACAACACTTTCTCTTGAGTTTCCTGTTCTTAAGTGTAGTGATGCCCAGCCCCTTGATTAGTCTTTTTTGGTGTTGGAGTGTGTGTGTGTGTGTGTGTGTGTGTGTGTGTGTGTGTGTGTGTACACACCTTCATATG